ATTTCCTAAAATCGATGTTTATATTTATGGGAAAATATCGGAGAAACAACGAATTGATGCTGTAACAGAGATTAGGTCAGTGACTTTGGCAATGCCCTTGTCGCAGTCCACAGGATGCATTACTTGGTACATCGCATAATTAATAACCGGCTCTCCGCATAATAACAAAGCATTGACACTGTACCCCGCGACCGAGAATTCGAAAGCACAACGGCACCTTTGCTATCGCGCTTTCATTTTTAAGAGGATAATGTACAAATTTTTCTTCTTGTTACAGATCAATAGTAAGTACAGCGAGGAACTCGCGCAGGAATGTCTGGAATGGATCAAGACGATCACTGGCGAAAATATAAACACCAACGGGGACATGGACAACTTCTACGAGATTCTGAAAGATGGCATCTTACTTTGCAGGTATTTGAAAAAAATCGGAAAACCGACGCTGGTTGAATTAAGGAACTACCGAAACTACGAGATAAAAATGCTTTTACTAATCATATTTTGTTTTTCTGCTAGACTGGTGAATGACATCAAGGAGGGGTCGGTGAAGAAAATTAACAAGACGTCGCTGGCCTTTAAATGTATGGAGAATATAAATGCCTTCCTGGAGGCTGCGAAATCATTAGGTGTTCCACCACAAGAGACCTTCCAGACCGTAGACCTCTGGGAAAGACAGAATCTAAATTCCGTTGTTATTTGCTTACAATCTCTTGGAAGGAAGGTACGGTTCCATTTCGTAAATATAAATATACCGGGTGGCTGATATTTTGACATACAATATAATCTTTTTACTAACTGCAGCAATGTTGTATATCTTTGTATTATAAAATAAAATGTGAAAATAAAAATTTTCTTACAAATTAAATCTTAAGGCTAGTAATCAGAAGTTTGCGATTTAATTTGTTAACAAAAAACTTTATTTATTTAATATATATTTAAAACTTAACCAATCATATTTAATATCAAATATATTAATGAATTCATAAATATAATATACAATTAATAATTAAAGACCGTAAAATCAACTATAAGGTATAATCTTACTTGAGAAGAATATAAATTTTTGTATACTACATATATATTTTAATCATTCTCAATCACAGAGATGTTAAATTATATTCGTAACTTAGAAAGATCTCAATTTCCTGATACGAATATTCATAATCTTTCATTGTTATTAGATATTTACATCTCTTCAAATGGATTCGTTATCAGTATTTATATATCGTTCTTTACTCTTATCAAGCGTTTTAATGCACGATAATTTTGCCTTTAATTTAGTTTATAACGGCTCGAGTTTATAATAATTCCATAGTTTATAACCAATAGTTTATAACAATTCCAACATTCCATAATATTCATATTTACAGGCGGGTAACTACGGTAAACCAAGCATCGGTCCTAAAGAAGCAGATAAAAATGTACGCAATTTCACAGAGGAACAATTGAGGGCCGGACAAGGCGTGATAAGTCTACAATACGGCAGTAATAAAGGTGCTAATCAAAGCGGCATTAATTTCGGGAACACAAGACACATGTAAAACATCCACCTCCGCATTTGTGTTGAGAAACAAAACCATTCTGTTCTCATCTCTCTTCTGACTTTATTCCCGTACAAGTACTCCTCTAGATGTAGCGTAACGCATAATAGATGTTAACGAGGTCCAAAATAAAAAGTATACTAAATGATATGTATCCTCACCACAACAGAGGATAAGAATTAAGATATGAGACATAAGATTCTTCAAATAAAAAAATAATACAAAGGGTATATAGATATATATATATAAAATATATATATATGTATATAACTTATAAAAAAGGTGACTAATCCTTGAATGCATAAAACGGGGATTTATTCGGCATGTTTTTTTTAATTGTATTTTTTAAATTCCATTATCATTCATCATATCGCTTTTTTTAAATAATTTTAAAAAAATATTGAGCGCTATGTTTTGACACTCAATTTATTCAATTCAAAATTTATCAAATCAAATTATCTTTCAATACGTGGCTTCAAAATAAACAATTAAGAAGGTTGAGCATTCGCCACACACTAGGGGCGGTATTCACAGTCGTTTCTTGTATTTAAGATCGCCTTAAGTTCGATCTTAAGATGTCTTAAGGCGCTAATGCAGCCCTCTGATTGGTTCATGACTTCTTAAGACCGTACTTAAGACGGTCTTGAATATAAGATCTGATTATGAATACCGGCCTAGATCTTGTTAGTGAAAATAATATATATATTCCTAATACAGAGAGAGTTTACAAAAAATTTTAATTAGATCGACATAAGTAATATACATTAATAAAATAACCATATCATTAACAAAAAATAGACGTTTCGGCCTTGAATATGGCCATCTTCAGTATTATATTCGTAATTAACATTAAAATATTAAATTATGTGCACTAATAATTTGTCTCATTTGAAACCAATCTCTGACATTAAAAATTTGACAAGAAGTAATCTTCCATTGTGAATTATCAGACGGAAATTCAAGATTTAGTTTGGAAACTTTATCTTATAATTTCAATGATATTATATCGAATTGACAAGCAATTATGCATTGGTGGATACTATCATTTAATTAAATACGAACTATGGATTGTGAAATTTTAATTGACTAGAGGATATTAAGTAATTGAACAATTACATTGTAACGTTAACCGACAAATTATTAGCGCACATAATTTAATATTTTAATATTAATTTACGAATGTAATACTGAAGATGGGCATATTCAAGGCCGAAATGTCTATTTTTTGTTAATATGGTTATTTTATTAATGTATATTACTTATGTCGATCTAATTAAAAATTTTTATAAACTCTCTCTCTCTGTATTAGGAATATATAATTTTCACTAACAAGATCTAGTGTGTGGCGAATGCTCAACCTTCTTAATTGTTTATCAAATCAATTTTGTATTAAATTTTTGCTAATTTTTATTGGAAAATGCCATGCATCCAAGGATTGAATTCTGCCTAAGTTTTGTATTGTTATAAACTATTTAATTTAATTTCTTGTTATTACTTTCATTTCAAATCTATCACGTAACGATTCAGAATCGATATATGATGTCATACTTAATATGTTAGAGTGAGGACTCCGAGAAGTACGTAATATTTTTTATATTTCGTTTCTTGATTATATGACAATTCAAATTGAATCTTTTTTACTTACGTGTAAAATGTACATACATACGTTACCAGTATGTATGTATGTATGTATCGATTATAGTTATATGTATATCGTGACTACAAATGCGACTGTGTAGCTCTCAGGATAGAAAATACACGAACATTCTTACACAATACAAAGGAACAAAGGATATTGTACGTTAGCATTAGCTCGGACAGCCACTATAATTGTTGAATGTTTCAAAGTATATTGTACAACGAAGGAAGTTACTGGCTAATTGCGCCATTGTCATTACAATTGAATATCTTGAAGTCAATCAAATCATTCTAGAAATTTGTGTTTAATGAAAGATAATAATTACATATGTATAATTATATATTAAGTATTTTGTACAAATATCTATTGATGGTTAGAAAAATGATAATTTTTCATAACATGCTGATGATATGAGTTAATAAAGTCATCAATAAGTGATTTTTATATTAAATGTTACTTATGATGAAGTACAATTGTATGTTACACTTTTAATTTTCTTCTACCCTGTAAGTCAAAACAACAACTAATCTTTTCAGAATATTTAATATATGACCGACTTTTCTAAAATATTTTATTTTAATATAAATGTGTGATATACTACAATAAAAGAAATATATACAACATACATACATTAAGTTATTTATTAAAAGGATAATAATCCAGTCCAGTGTTGTATTTAAATTCGCGTTTATTACGATTCTGCTTCTTTGCCATTTCCATAAGTTTTTGGACGCTAGGCCTATATAAATAACAAATAGAAAATTACAAATAATTACAAGTTATATTATAAATAATGTAAAGCAGAATTATGAATCGTACCTGTAAGGTGGTGGTAACATTTCTTCATGGAGCGTACATTTTGTGTTAAACGGTTTGTTTTGTTTGAATATTTGTGTTCTAACGATATCGATATCTCTATTATATTTATCTACGATTTTGTCTACTTCATTTGGTGGTACATCAAAATATATTAAAAAATGGCTAGAGATATAAAAGAGAAATATAGATGAAATATATAAAATAAAATACGTAAAAATATACTTTACTATTGTTAGAATACGTAATAATGAAGAAAATTTATCAGTTGCATTTAAGGCAATCTGTTCCAATTAAGGCAGAACTTAATTATGTTTTAATATTATTATAAGTATAATCTTACTTTGCTTCACGATGAATGTGTCCATGTGCATTAGTTTTGCATGGAAGTGGTATTACTCCGCAATTTTCAATTTTTCTGATAAAACCACCAGTATTAAATATCGTTTCAGCTGTTCTCTTTAAGACTGCTACCAATTCCGGCTACAAATACATATCAAATGTTCGTTGATTATTTTACAATAGATAACGAGTATTTTTGTACGAGCCAACATATTATATCAAGCGCACGATTATTGTAATGTTTTATTACACAAATTTCCCAGATGTAAAAAAATATAACCTATACTCGTTACAACACGATACCTTTTTCATGACTCGCAGCAATAAGGGCATTTCATATGTAGGCATTTTTGTATTTTTTTTTTATCACTCTATACAATTTCCAAAAAACTAACAATAATATAATGACAATACTTCAACAATTGAATTTACTGAAAGAGAATCACAAACTACATTAATCTACATAAATCACATTTTCTTGTCCAATTCTGAAGGCTGAGCGGAAATTGAAGAACCCTGACATATCAACTGTTGCGAAAATAAATAATAAGGATTTTATCCATATTTGACATATAGTTTCCAAGAATGGACGTTGGTGCGCTAGTGTACGGGGTTTCATTGTTTCATGTAAACAGTAAAAAGCACTGAGGCTCAGTGCCTGACTCAGTGGTCAGGTTTCTTTGGAGAATCGTAGAACGTGGATGTGCAGGTAGTATGAGAAGAATATTAAAGCAAAATACGTGTCAGAAAATTTGAACTATTTTAACAATCGACAACATTTTACTTACATTTTACACAAAGGTATTGTCACTTCTATTGTAAATGATATTGTAAAACTATAATAACATTTATATGAATAGATTTATTACTTTTGATAGTTTTAGTTATTTTCCAAATTTTTATGATTTTACTGATGATTATAGATAGAAACTGTAATTTGCTATTCAATGATGTTCTGCGTTTATTCAATTTCATGTTTCTGTTAATAAATATTTGAAAACATCTTAACGGTTTATATTAACTATCGAAACAAAAGATCTGTTTTTTATTCCTTACTAAGATTGCACTAGAACTTTCTCGAAAATGGGAAAGTCTAGTAAGGAATAAAGACCAAACATATATCTATTTCACTTTAAATTCTAAAAGTATACACTAATTCAGGTATAGACAGACCCAAGATATCATTGTTATTTCAGGTATTCAGTGTACACAGTGGAGATGGCAGAATTATCAAGCAGTAATAAAGGCGATAATGATAAAACCAATGATAAAAGTGGTCAGGAGACACAGTGTCTCGACGCTAATAATGTAAATGATGATAAAAGCGATAATTTAAACGATGACAAGAATGATAGTATAAATGATGACAAAAGTGTTAATATAAATGATGAGAAAAGTGATAATATACATGATGACAAAAGTAATAATATAAATGATGACAAAAGTGATAATATAAATGATGACAAAAATAATACCACAAACAATAACAAAAATAATTGTGATCCAAGGGAATCTACCCGTAGGCAATTTTACAAAAGCCGGATAAGAAAAGATAATATTAAATTGGAACTTGATGATAGTACACCTCAAGAAGAAAGACGCAGATTGTTATTAGAACATCAGAAGAAGTATGTATAACAAATTACGTATAGGAATATTCTCTTATTGTAAAAAAAAATGTGTATTTTATGTTAAAAATTAATAGGCATTGTGTATGTGTAGAAAATCCATAGAAAAGAATTAATATACTTGTGACAAAGTACATATGTTAAACAATTATTTTGTATACATTGATAAAAACATTAACAAATGTTAATAAAAGAATTTAAACTTAATGAGGATATTGAAAAATATTTAATAATAATTAATGAAATTAAATAATTAATTGAAAATTGTTGTTTTCATAGTCATTGAAGAGAAATGTTTAACGTTTTTAGCTATATCTATCATTATTATCAATTATAAACATCGTAATTATTGGGGCTTTTCAGGAAATATATATCAATACAGAAGTCATTCTGTTTATAATTGATATTCAGTGAAAGGCATTTTTAACAGAATGACTGAGTCTTTGATGTCTTTCTGGAAAAGTTGTATATCATTAGTTTTTACTGGCTTCTACATATATGGTCTGTTTTCTGTTCCTGCACTAGACTGCACTAGAAGTCTCTTTCTCACTTTCGACAAATATCAAATATATACCTATATTTTACTTTAAATTCCAAAAGTGTACACTGATTCAGCCACAGAAAACAGACCTATTTTTATTCTAACATCATTCTAATGTTTTTCATTTTTTTCACATTCTATTTTTTTTATATAAATACGTTATTTTATGATTCTTATAGACATAGAGATGAAACTATTAATGCTATACGTGGTATACAAGAGTGTTCTACATCAAAAAATGATGATATGGATGAGGAGAAATATATAGATGGGGAAGAACATATAGGTGAAGAGGAATATATAGATGAAGAGTATATGGATGCGGAAGAGTACATGGATGAAGAAGAGTATATGGAAGTAGAAGATTATGCCTCGTCGTATTATAAGATTCTTCCGAATGAATCTAAAACAAGTCGAATGATGCTATCAGAATGGATGCTAGATGTGCCGCAAGATCTCATTGAAAATTGGATTATGGTTCCATGTCCAATAGGAAAACGAGTTAGATTGATCTCAGGCTGGGTATTAACTCATCTTTTTTTGTTGATATTTATTATAAAATAAGAAATCTTTATTACACAAACGTATAATAATTATTTTAACAATTTTTTAAATCAGGGTGAAACAAGGGCATATTCTAGAAAAGGTGTTCTACATGGTGTCTTTCCTTCAGCACTTCCAGGTGGAAATCCTGATAGTGACTTTCATCACTCTACTGCTATCGATTGTCTATGGATAAAGAATCGAAAACTCTTTTATATATTAGACGTGTTGTATTGGAGTCTATTGCCATTCACGAATTGTCAGGTAATACATATATATTTTACATATAAATCAATCTGTAAAGTAATTGATATAAATTAAAACACATAAGCAATAAATAAATAAATATATTTATATATTATTTTATATATATGTGCGATATATTATTTTAGGCTGAGTTCAGATTTTTCTGGATCAAGAATAAGTTCCAGGAAATACCAGAACTTGAAGAACGCAATACTGATGCAAATAGATATCCTATTTTAACTCTACCAAATATTAATTGTAACTCGGACCTTAGTTCAGCCTTAGCAAATCTTGATAATGAACGACCTCTGGACGGATTGTTATTTTATCATCGTCAAGCATTATATACTTATGGACTTACCCCACTTGTGACATGGTTAAAACCTTTTATGTTATCCGAAGTACTTGGAATATCTGTACCTTCATTTGACGAGAAACCAAATGATTATATAAATTTTGAACATCACATACAAAAAATAAAAACCAAGAAAAATCGACAAGATAATACTACAAAAAGTGATACTAATTCCGTAAGTTCCTACAGTGTTATATAATGAATACTAACTTTGTATGTATGTTAACTTTTTATTTAATACATTCTTTTTAATTTTACAGATGGAAATAGAAGGTGTCGTTTAAAAATTAAAAACTCATTTATTATGGCGATTCATAGTGATCTCAAGTAGGCCTCAGACAAAAGATTCGACCATGTTGAATATTCGATCTATTCGAATAGTTGAAAGTTGAAAAAATGAGCATCTAATTCGAATATTTCGGATAGTTCAAACAGTTCGAGCTTAAAGCCGAGAGCACATAGAAAAACGTAAGGCCGTAAGACGTAATCAGTAAGGAAATCGTAACATTGGATTCGCTACTGGCCTTACAATCTCTACTGTGATTGGTCAATTCACTTACTGCTTGCGTGTTACGGTTTTACTTGTATGTGTCATGGACTTAAGCAGTGATCAGTATGAAATGTCAGAATTCGTTATGATTGAAATTCGGACGGTTCGGACAGTCTAATATAGTATGCATTGGAAACAAAAGAGCAGTTTTTCACGAAACTTGAATATACATTGGCTAAATATACATTGGCTATTTACTTGAATATACATTGGCTGCGTTCAGCAGAGAAAGCAGCTTTGCAACTGTTGTAAAATTTTTGAATATGATTCTTGCTCTTAGTTCCTCATTGGATCTAAATGAATAAACCAACCATATTCAAGAATTTTACAATTACAAAGTTGTTTTTTCTGCTGAACGCAGCCATTATAAAAATGTCAAAAAGAAAAAGTTGCGTCATATTCAGTCATATTCAGGTTGATCCTGAGGGCGAACTATTATGTCTGAGTTCGAAATGTAATAAATTTGAACTTTTAGTTCTGAAGTGGGTTAAAATAGTTTGAACATACATTCAGTCCGAACTATTTAACGTTTGAACTTGAGATTCGAACTGTCCGAACTGTCAAATCGTCTGATATTTCTGAGCACTAATCTCAAACTAGATGATTTATATCTTATATAATCATCCATAACTTAAAATACATATTTTTTTTATTACCAAAGATACAATATGTCTGATATACAAGTTTTTTTTATAAAATTAATACAAATTTTTTTTTTTACAATGACAAACCTCTATTTTTTTATGACAATGACAACATAAATAATTATTGCAGCAATCAAGATATATTATTGTATTTGAACTACGTATATCACATAAAACATTAAAATAAGAAAAGTTCATATATCAATATGCACTGTATGAAATATATCAAGAGCTTTGTCACTAAAGTATAACAATATATTATTCATAATTTCTACATTTGTTACTTTCATCTAAAAAAAAGAAAAACACATTAGACTATATAAACATGTATCAAATATGTTTTGTTTTAATACGATTTCGATGTAAAATGGGAGGAAAAATAAAAATGATGTAAAGACTTACTCTATTTTGCATTATTGTTATTCCGGGCAGATTAATCCTGCGCAATGTACATAATCCTAATTGTGAACCTCCTTCCATTAACATTTGTTCATGTAAAACCTCATGAAACATTTCCATGTGTTCGTAATCAAGAAATACATTAACTCTGTCATTTCGATCTCCGATAATGCTGTAAATACCAATATAAACTAATTATAAATAATTTTGAACATTTTCATTCAATTAAACGTTAATCTACGTACGCTGATAATATTTCCTTCAAGTCTAAACTGTGATATTTAACTTTAATGACATCTGCAATTGGTAATTCTGGCACTGTGTATTCCATTTGAACTTCGCCAACAATTATTGGCTTATCCTCATTAGTAGCTGTAATTATAATTGGAACCAGCCAACGTAAGTCATCCTCGTTTGCTGGTAGTGTAACTATCAAGCAGTCAAACATACGACCGATGATAGTATGTACTGCGTCCATACAGCTGCGAGTGCCACGACACAGTAGAAGAGGCAACCTTATAGAATTTTGTATATTTAATTTGGTCCGTGTTAAACTCCAGGATAATAATACCCCTTTATAAATGGGTTTTTCAACACCATTCTCACGACCATGGATTTTAGCTATAACTTCAATCTAAAATATATTTTATAAACAAGCTTAAGTTTGATTGTCTTTTTAACAATATAGTATGTACATATTTTAATATGATATTACAAAATATTAAGAAGCTATTATATAAAAAAATATTAAAAATTAAAAATTATCAATATTTTTTATTAGACCTTTATTACAGGATCCTCACTATTTGGTTTAGATATAATATCTTCCATAACAGAAAACTTTGCGTCATAAGTTACATCTTCACGCGATAAGGTGCTTGCAATCTCTTCTCTCAATTTCTTCGAATATAGTTTAAAGTGAACCTCATCTTGTTCGATGCCAAACAGAGCAGATACTGCATAAATGTTCCATGTTTGGGCTACTAAACCTGTAAGTAAAATTAAAAGAAGATTGTATATTCAAATAAAAAGAGATGTTAAATATTTAAACTGAATGGTCGATTAATGTAAAACCAAATTATTACATTCAACTACATCTTAGGAATTATCAGCACAAGAAACTTTTGTGCCACATCAATTCCAAGCGTTTGAGGTACGCTTTCGGTTTTCTTTCTTAGATACGAAAAAGCGCGTTGTTTACCTTCCAGTCCATCGATTTCGTCCTCTTCCGCCCACGTACTTAGATCGAATCGTTGTCGTTGACGCATTCGAGGTGTTCGCGGGGTATACATGACGCTACCTCGGCTGTCCGGCGTACCAATACTTAGGCTATCTGACATGTTGTGGTTATGGAGGAATTAAAAACCGCTCATGGATAATAAACGTTCGAAAAGTAATGTGAGATCACTTTATGTGCTATTTCTTTAACGCGCGAACGTCAATAAATTCCAACCATGGTGAAAGACCGTGTCTAACCATTTCAAAATATTGAAAACTGTCGAAACTGTCGAATTTGAGCGCGTTGTACATGCGACATGATGCGGCATGAAACACTTTGATATATGATTGGTGATCGCACTATATTTTCACGAATTGCCTTTTCCATCTGCGTGACTAATTTTGCAATTTTTTTGTGAAACTGCAATTATAGGTATCTATTTTTATCTTCTAATAGACGAGGCAATGCATTCTTAAATTTAAAATAATCTTATATATATTTATTAACGGAATAAATGATTAAAAATAAAATAAAGAAACAATGAAAGTTAATTAATAAAAAAAATAAACAAATTAAAAAGAGACAACACATTTAAAAAACGTCTTTATAATATCTTTAGACACGCATGTTATTGAAAAAATTATATAAGAATTTAATATAAATATAAAAATAGTTAGTATTAATAAAATATTTTAATCTAATAAAGTAATTAATAGCGTTTTCGGCCCGACCGGGTTTGCACCAACCTGGGTTGGATTACTCAGCTGAAACCATAAATTATTTTGAGATGTGAAATAATTTAATAAACGAACCTTGAGAGGAATTTTAATATCGATAATGTAACATTTGTAATCGCGATTCAAGTGTGGAACCAGAGAGAAACCATAGATCTGTTCGCTTTACTTGCACTTTTTGCACTCGACATTTTCGCTTTCTCTCTTTTCAAAGTCAAATATATATCTATTTCATTTTAAGTGCAAAAATATTTGGAGATTTCATATAACGCGAACAGACCTCGTGTCGGCCTTTTTTCTGTTATCGTCGAAATCAAAGACATAGAGAATGGACTGTGCGATCCGTGCGTCAAAATGGTCGATAGGGATGAGAGGCACCGTGGCAGACGGCCATTTCTATCTCTTTCCATTCAATGGTGTAATGGGAGAGAGAATGAGAGGGAGATTGGCCGTCTCCCACGGCCGTCCCTCTCTCTCATTATTGTCGACCACATTTGATACACTACTTAGATACGAATCGCGCAGTTCATTCTCTATGTCTTTGGTGACTACATAGTTGCTACTTTAGTTGCTTTCCACTTACACCGATTTTCAGATAATTCTAACTTGTGCCTAAATAACACATTATATTCTGAAAATATACTAAAAAGGTCACGTCTGATATTCGTATGATATTCCTATGTCCGCAGTAACATTGTTCGCAGTACATCCTCAGAATATCCAGATGAATTTCGAAAATTTTCCTTAAGAGTGTGTAAGAAATATCTATTAAAAATAATGTTCTTCGCTAACAGAATATTATTTTTAATAGATAGTTCTTACACACACTCTTAAGAAAAACATTCGAAATTCACCTCGATATTCTGAGGATATACTGCGAACAATGTTGCTGTGGACAAAGGAATATCAGACGTGACCTTTTTGGCATATTCTCAGAATATTCTCAGAATATAATGTTCTATCTGGGTGACGTCATAACTCAGTTGAACGCGCGTTCCTTTTATATACTGACAAGGGAGATTTAATTGAGTTTTTGCCTATAATCTGCACAAAATAGAGACCATGTGCTTTAGTGAGTCTCGTAAACTCACTTTAAAAGTGACGTTCGAACCTGTGTTGTCATGTGATAACTTTTTATCAAACTAAGTAAATAATGACTAAGTAAATAATGATCATTAATCTGAGTATGAAATATTCAGCTCACCTCAGACTCAGTTTCACTTATGTGCAAATGGAAAGTAACTATTTTCTGACACTATCGATAAAATCATATCGTCGAAAGTAGATGCGTTTCGTCTTTGTACTAAGTCCTCAGAAGCGTGCCGACTATCCATGGGAGCGGTAATTTAATAGTCCTTGAACGAACAAATTTTAATTTCGCATTTCCTACATATGTAAATAAAAGTTGTTGAATTTTAATTTAAGCGAAATTGAAAATTCAACAAGTTAATTTAGTGTAAATTTTGTCTTATAATATCTTATAATTAAATTACGAAGTTATGTTTCTTTATGAAAATTTTCAGCCCATCTTCAGCACATCTTATTCTAAAATAAAAGAATCATATTAGTAATTATGTTTTTATCAAACATAATTACTAATATAATTCTTTTATTTTAGAATGAAATATGTCAGTGATAGAATCATAAAATAAAAGAGTTATTTAGTATTCATTATTTTAAATAACAACACTTTTAACTTATTTCTTATTTAATATTTTAAATAAATTTTCGGAAACTATTTTATATTTTTTATTTTAAACAAGATGTATCAGTTTTTTTGCCGATATATAAAATATTTTTTCCTGGATGAATAATATCATAACGTTTGTTTCCAGACACAGTAATAGAGACACACTGAAATATATTGATTATTTCATCTTTGTCCTTTGTTTAACAATGATAAACAGTAAACATATGATTCAGTGTTGTAGCGAACAAATGTAGGCTGTGTT